ATATTAAATACACATGTATTCAATATTTTTAGTAGTAATTAATTACTAAATATTAATAATTAATAGTAGTTAAATACTACCATAGTAGTTAAATACTACCCTAGTAGTCCTAAATATTAGTTAATATTATTTAATATTAAATACACATATATTCAATATTTTTCAATATATTGTGCTACTAGAATAGTTAAATACGTAAAAGAAAAAAAAGAAATAAATAGCTAGTCGTATTCGAAGCTATTGTTGTTAATACTAATCTACGTATTTTACAAAAGATATTTCAATGAAAAGAAATGGAAATTTTTTCTTATTGTGTCAAAGATATAACAAAAGATGACGAATGCATATATATATATTATATAGATAGATTTTGACTGGTATTCTTTCAATGTCGCCAATTAGCCTTGCCAATTATCGCAAGGCCGATTCAGGGTTGTGTCGACGAGGGTAACGTTCGAAAAGTCTCTGGTGGTATTTGTTCGTTAAACAGTAAAAGAAGAACTGATAGGAACGTGTGTAATTTAATTGCGTGTGCAAACAAAAAACGTAGAATTAGAAATACTTAATACCTTCTTTGATCTTTTACGATAACAAAATTAGTTCGAACATCATCCTTTAAGCTTTAGTTAAAGCGCGTTTATTGTTTGACAATATAAACAAGCTTCCTCTCTCTGTACTTATATGAAAATTCGTAATCCAAAAGGGGAGAAACATAATCTTGTTTTAATACTAAAATAATCAAAGATGCAATTAACGTTTCATGGGAATGTTTGATATGCGATTAACTTTCTAGTTCATTTTTTTCCGTTTTTTTTCTCTCTTTCTTCCCCATAAAGTTTTACGGTTAATCTTACATTAACAGAAAGATCTTTTACGTCACGGGGTGTGGCTAAATATCCTGATCGATTCTATAGCGATCGAGGTTATGCGTATATAATCGGTTGTGTTGCATAGCAAACAATTAATTTCTACAATTGGTTCTATTGATCTTGGCTTATTTTATCTTGGAAAGTTAATTGATCGAAAAGTAAATGATTCCATGTCTCATTCCTTTAATGATAAATTGTTCGTCAAATGTTTACAGTCAAACAACATAGAAGAAAATAATCATTATGGGTTGAACGTAATTATGCACACATAAAAAAAAAAAATCATTAAAGGGTGACTATAGATACATATATCTTTCTTTCTAGGAGTTACATAATGTTTCGTTGAATTTAAGTTCACTGAATACTCACCAACGTATGTTGGCGCAATTGTAATACTTGCGGTAGGGATCCTGTAGGAGGGATGCGCCATTCATATTCAGCTCATGTGCCATTGACTGAAAATTTTGAGGGACCACTTGAATTATAATAATTTTCTCGTGTAACCTATTCTATTTTAATATAAATTTTTAATTATCATTAAATATAGTTCATTTTTTTTCTGTATTTGATGCAATTCATTATTTCATAATTATTTCAATGTTTGAATCATTCGCGCGCAAAATCGAGTTTCGGTCCCCCAGCAATGTACATGACGCATCCCTCCTATAGGATCCCTAACTTGCGGATTTATGATCGAACTTATGGATTCCAAATCTTTTTTTGAACAATTGCATACGTACGATGAAATTTCCAATCAAATCTACTCATCGATAAAAGAAGATTTTTCATTAGATTTGATAATATATTTTAATGGGAATTTTTTGAAGATTAAAAAAAATTATCATCATCATCATCATCATCATCAATTGTTCTTTTGACTTATTGTTAAAGTTAATCGAAGAATTACCACACATGTCGTTTTCGTTTTTGTCTTGACAAATGTTATTTACAATGATGATTAATTAAATAAAGATATTTCAGTTTTCTTTATATACATGAAATAATAAAAAAAAGAAAAAAAAGAAAGAAAGAAACATAGATAACCTATTTTTTATCTTGGATAACCTTTTGTATTTTGCCGGGGATTTTAAGAAATGACCAAATGACGATTTTTCAAAAGTCATTTGATTTAATCGTTTTCGAGAGGAGATCATTAATAAGATTTTATTCTTTGTGTTCAATGAAATTTAAATATTGATTAATTTTCTATGAGTAGATGCAATATATTCAAATGTGATGTTAAAAGATTAGAAAAATGTCTGTGCAAAAAGAAATCTGAAATGAAGAATAACATTTCTAACATAATTATAAAAGATAATTGCATGATTATTATATAATAATTAAATAATAGTATAAATAGTAGATATATTTATGTATTAATAAATAATATCTGTAAAAATCAATTAATTTACATAGATATAACAATTTATTAATAAATCTAATGATATTTCTTTTTTACTTATCTTTCGAAAGTTGCTTCATAATGGGAGTACAAAATGAACAACAGGTAAGTATAATTTGTCTAATTTGTATACTAACGTTAGATTATAATATAATTTTTGATATTATTTTTTTTTTTTAACTAACAATTTGGCTCCTTCAGTCAAATGACATACAGCTAGAACAAACTACGACTCCCACTGAATTGACTCCCACGCCAAAGGTAACTATTATAGATCATGTTTTATACATATAGTGTATTAACATGTTATCGCTAATCATTTAATAGTTTTACGTGTTATATTTTATCTTCTTTTTTTCACGCAGTCCTCAACTACGGATAAGGATTTGGTGAGTAGTATGAACATATTGTTTATAATGTTTTATAATTTCATTGAAATAAAATGAATTATTAATTTATAAGAATTATAATCGAATTAGTAATTCATATATATATATATAATAATAATTAATAATATACATATATATTAAAATATATATTAAAATATATGTGTAAAATAAAAAAAATATATTTATTATATTATATTATTGTATACATATATATATATATATATATATATATATAATTATAATATAATTTAATATTGTATATGTATATTATACTATAGTTTATATTATTATATATTATATTATTACATTATATTATTATTTTTTATTATACTATATTATATTATTTATATTATATATATTATTATATATATTATATATATATATATATATATTTTTATATTATATATATACGGTTAGAATTATTTTTATAATATTTACGTACAACACACACACACACACACACGATTGTGTTAAATATTGACCGCGTAAAATTTTTTTAATAAACCTAACTAACTAAATAGGATGACTTTAATAATTTCATTATCAATTATTTGCGTTAAAAAAAAAAAAAGTAAAAAAATATAGTAGATATCAAATTTTGTAAGTAAAATAAAAATATGATTAATTTTGTTTGTTGATTTTAATTAAAATATGTATGAGCCACATTACGCATGTATAAAACTCGATTTATCCCCTGCTTTTTTTTTTTTATCGAGAATAAAAATATTTATGAAAATAAAAGATAAGAATACATACATACATACATAAAGACTTTTTGATAAATTGACATAAGTATATTATGAAACGTGTAATGTGATAAAAATATAAGAGATATTTTCTATTTAAATATTGTACACGGTTATCGCATTCTTCTTCACCTTCGTGAAACAGAACAAACGAAAATGTGTTGGGAAAGAGTGGATCTCAATTGCGTCATAGTAGGAGAAAAAAACATCTTCCACCGGTTAAAATTTATTTAGTTCTTTTTTTCTTTATTATCATTATTATTATTATTATTATTATTATTATTATTATTATTTGTCTTTTATTTTTGACCGTACGGTACGATACGCCGCGACCTTCGTTCACCGCACGAATTTTATTTTAGTTCTCATCGCGTATAACTCTCGTCTGTAAAATCTTTTTTAAATTCACTATATATACTTCTTTTCTCGTATACTGTAAAAAAAATTCTATACCGATCGAATATTTCGCTTTTATTTCGCATTTATTTGAAAAAGAACTTTTATTAAAAGAAAAAAAGAAAAACAATCAACGCATGTCGAATATCACAATTTCTGATTTACCTGCACACAATTCGCGTAATTTTTTATTTTTTGTTTGTTTATTATTGATAAATGAATAACGCATCTCGTTTAACACTGATATACCACCATTTTTAATATACCTGTTTCTACCACACTAGTCAAAATGA